TCTGTGGGAAGAAGTCTGCATTCTTCATGCTGGCCCCAGAGTGAGACCTGCTGGAAAGGTCATCTTGCCTACATGAACGGGGATAGATACACACTCTACTGTCTTTTTCAGCTGAACCGTGTCATTCAGATGAACCTTGTCCTTCTGGCAAATAGTCCCTAACAGCAGAAAGAAACCATGTCAGCTGTACTTCATTCATCAGTTAGAGATCAAAATTTAAAAACTATAAGGAGCTAGAAGGAAAGTAATAGCACAAAGTGAAAAAGTCACAACTAACAGATATTAACTCCCTTCCTCACTTTGGGATAGTGGTGAGTAACTGGAACAGAGAAGAGCGTGCAAACTATTACAATTAACTTCTTTCCGAAGATTTGAGAAAGTAATCTTTTCATAACACAGTAGCAAAATGTTGTGATGCTTTCCAAACAAAACAAAACCCTGCAGTTCTCACTACTTGGGAGGCTGGGGCAGAAGCGACAGGGTGAGATCCTGTCCCAAAACTAAAATATTCAGAGACGGGAAATTATTTTATATTTTAAATTTATTTATTTTTATTTCACGTACATTGGTGTTTTGCCATGGGTGTTGGGCCTCAGGAACTGGAGTTACAGACAGTTGTGAGCTGCCATGTGGTTGCTGGGAATTGAACCAGGGTCCTCTGGAAGAACAGTCAGTGCTCTTAACCACTAAGCCATCTCTCCAGCCCCGGGAAATTATTTTAAATAAACGTAATATTAGAAAGGCAGAGGAAACATGAAGGAATCCTGTTAAAACTTAGAACTAAACGACAGAAATAACATTTCAAGGAAAAGGAATTAGATGCCTCCAAGTCCTCCTGAGTTTGGCTCATAAGACACAGAAGTTACACTGTCATAGCAGAGTACATTTTCCCTATAACACTTACTTTATTAATCTGACAATTAATAAAGCAAGCCAGCTGGGGTCATCCACATCTGTAATTCAAGCATCAGGGAGGCAGAGACAGGAGGATCCAGCGTCCATCCCAGCCTGGACTACACGGAGACACCACATCCAGCCTGGGCTGTGTAGTAGAACAAGAACTGGAAAGGCTAGAAAGAAGGTACAGGCTGGGATTGATAGAGTGTCTATTGACAGGTAATAGAAAAGAAATGGTTTGAAGAAGCATAACACTGGGCTGATGGGATGGTTCATACACGCATACACGCACGTGCAGATACACAAAATAAGTGCAAAAAAAAGACTTTAAAGAAAGGATAGAGCTTTCCAATATACCCCATAAATAAATTTCAGAATAATAGTTATGCATCAGTCCTAAAAGCAGTCAGTAGAAAATCCGTCCTATTAACTAAGGTTGGTGTTTAAACCTATAATCCCAACATTCGAAAAGCTAAGGCGAAAGGATCCTGAGGTTAGTCTGTGTTATGTAGAACATTCTAGTTTACCCTGGGCCACACAATAAAACTCGGCCTCAAAAAGAAAAGAAAAAAAAATCTCAAAAAAGAGCATAATTAAGAACCCAGATAAATTTAGGTCCTACAGAAAAAAGGAAAAACAGCCAGGCACTGTGGCATAGGCTTTTACTCCTGGCATTTGTGAGACAGGCAGGATCAGAAGTTAAAGGCCAGCCTTGGATTCACAGTTGAATTTGAGGCAGGCAGACCCTGTCTCAAAAACACAAAACAAAAAGACACCACTTTACACTTTTCCACCTATGAGACTTGGGCTAGCCTGAGGTACTTACTACATAATGAGGCCTTGTCTCAAAAAAAAAAACAAAAAACCAAAAACCAAATAACTGGCATGGCTTTGAGTAATTGATAAAGTATCAGAGAAAAAACCCAGAAGCCAGCAAGATGGACCTAAATTAATGCCCAGGAACCACGTGATGAGACAACTCTGACCTCCACACATAAACCGTGGCACAAGCATGCCTCCAATACACACACCATAAATAAGTGTAATTAAAAAATTAAAAGACGCTTGGCAGTGGTGGCGCACGCCTTTAATCCCAGCACTCGGGAGACAGAGCCAGGCAGATCTTTGTGAGTTCGAGGCCAGCCTGGGCTACAGGGTGAGTTCCAGGAAGGGCGCAAAGCTACACAGAGAAGCCCTGTCTCAAAAACAAAAACAAAATCACACACACACACACAAAAAAAATAATACTCAGTGAATTTTAGCTTACAATTAGGAGAGAATTTCAAGTAGTTTCTGAAAGGGACCTAAGTCCTGCTGTTTTACACTTCATATCTAAAGCTGCAGTTGGAGCAGCTATGATTCTAGCACCAAGATGTAGATTACATCCCAAAACAGTGAAGATGCTCCATCCTGCGACTGAGAGCTACTTTGTTGCTTTCCAATTTCAATTCTTTATGTAAAGTAAATAAGCATATCTGTCTCATTGGGATACAGAGAGTTGCCTTTGCATAAATGCTAAGGGTATATGTATACCAAAGAATTTTTTTAGTAAATGTATGACTTATTATTAGCAAATGTTTGATTGCTTACATACTTCTTACACTCAGGAATCACATTTTAAAAAAGTTCTTGGGGTTGGGCTTGCAAGTAGGAAAAGGTTTAAGAAGCTGTGTCTCTGGGGCAATTAATTAAAGGGGCCAAAGCCGAAAGGGTAAAGAGCGCTGGTGGGTCGGCGGGCGCTGCGGAAAAGTCATGGGCCACAGCTACCAGAGTTAGAAAGAAACCAGGCCTGGGGAGACAGAAAGATGGCAGGAGCAGAGCAGAGAGGAAACAGAAAGAGGAATAGAGAGAGGGTGTCTGGGTGCATGTCCGGCTTTAAGGCTGGGACGCAGCCACCCACTGATGATGTAAGACATCATTAAACCTGGAAGAGTGAGAGCAGGATCCTAACAAAAGCCCTCAAGATACCATTTATATATTCGCAAAAGTTGGGAGGTTATGTTGGAAGTCATTTTTCATGTTTTATTATATCTTAATATTAAAAATATTTATGGCTAGTGAATGTTTTTTCAGAAAAAAAAAATTGCTTTGTTGAAGCTAGGAATGGTGGCCCATGCCTTTAATCCCAGCACTTGGGAGGAAGAGGTAGGTGGATCTCTGTGAGTTCCAGGCTAGCCTGGTCTACATAGTGAGTTCCAGGACAGTCAGAGCTATACAGTGAGACCCTGTCTTGAAAAACAACAGTAACAAAAGACAAAAAAAAAAAAACAATTGTTTTGTTTTTGATAGACTAGGAAGCCATCATTTCCCCCTTTCCCATTAAGTACTGCAAGAGCTCAGTTATACCATGAAGCTGAGGATGTGGCTCTCTTGGTGAAATGTTGCCTCGCTATGCAAAGCACTGGGGTTCCAGTCCCTTCACCACATAAACTGATTACAAACCTGTAATTCCAGCATTCAGGGGGATCCAGAGTCATCCTTGACTACAAAGAAAATTAGAGCAGCCTGGGCTACCAGAGACCTTGTCAAGAAAAATAAAATAAAATAAAATCTGATGTAACTGAATAAGCTTAGCATTAGATCAGTGGCTGGATTCTTTACCACAAATTAAATAACGCTATCTTGAAAACCAAATGAGTCTCCTAAAGGCCCAGATAACTGTATGACTGTACTTGTGTGCAGTCTGTGTGCTTTGGGCAGGAAAGGAGAACGGATTCTAGCACTACAGGTTGCAGCTTCTGCCCTGGCCCAGGAGTCTAGTAAGGCGGCAATGCTCAAACTCCGCAGTCGGTTTTAAAATATCTACTCCAGCTAGGTGGTTCTAAATAGAACTAATGACAGCCAGAAAAGAGAGGCCTGTAGGGACTTGCTCTGACACAGAGCTGACATCTATAAACAGAGCAGGAGCAGGCATCGGGGCATCCTTCTCTTGCCCTAAATTTGTGTGTTGGCATGAAGATAAAGTCATAGGAAAGAATTGCCTAGTCCAGAGCCCACCGTTATTCCACAGATAAATCCGGTAGCAGGCCATCTCCCCGGTGTCTGTGTTTGATGTATCAGTCTAATTAGTAATCAGAGTATCCACTAATGAGAGCCAAAAGCTAGTGAGGAAAAATAATAGGCTTGAGAAGACGTGGTTGCAAATTTTACTCTAAATTCTTCAAAAAGTTCAGCAGAGTCCATTTTTCACTCAAAAGGCAGATTAAAATCGAGGTGACAAGGCTATGAAGGCCAAAGGAGGTGGGGAGGGGCTATCTTGAGTTCAAGGCCATCCTGGGCTACAAAATAAGTGCCAAGCCAGCCATGACTACATAGCATAGCGCTGTCTCAAATTAAGTAAGGAATAAATATTTTGGAAAGGCAACTGGACAGGATGGGGTGTAGCTCAGTGGTAAAGTACTTGGCTGGCATGCACAAGGCCCTGGACTCAATCCCCAGGACTGGAAAAATTAAAAATGGCAACTCATGCCAGCTCCCTTTACCGTTTGTAAACGGCTGCAGAAATACTCCAGCCGAAGCTATATTAAACTTGCTGTTTGAAGTAAACTGTGATTAGTAGTCACGGAAAACCATTCTGTGTTCTATTCTCTACCTTCTTCATTTAGACTTCATAAGGTAAGAGGACGGTTTAAGAGGGAGGACAAACTGACCAGGCTGAGACTGCCTGCCGTGCACAAGGCCTGGGTTTGAGTTCCAGCAGTTAAATAACAATTGTTGCTAACACTCCACTCAACAAATTTGTGCAGAAAACTGCAGTAGAACTCCAGATACATTCCACACCCATTGTGTCACACTCTATCGGTGTGACACACACATATCACGGGGTGCTTTTTTGAAGCTCCAGGTGTGACTGCAATGTGTAGAAAAACTAGCAACCACTAGCCTATAAAAAGTCAGTTGTAGTGCTAAAAGTAATATATACTATATTAAGAGGCATGTGCACGATTGTTGTACGTTCATATTTTGTTTTCTCAATTCTTTTAATATATGTAATATAATTATTCAAATATTTTATCTATTTAAAATAAATGTTTAGTGTCAATCATTATTAGTCTGTCTGCCAAAATCATACTTGCTGTTTTCTTGTTTTCATATATCAACAGGAATTTGCAGCCATGAAGCAGATTATCATTAATATGTGTAGTAAACATTCTGAGAACAACTTACTTACCAAAATGGAATCAAAAAGTGTGACAGAAAATCAAGCATCCAAGATTTTGAACATGCCAAGAGAACATGAAGACAATATATTTATACCCAATCCAACCCTGTTTGTAAGTATAGCTAGAATTTTTTTTTTATTTTTTATTTTTTTGGTTTTTTGAGACAGAGTTTCTCTGTGTAGCTTTGCGCCTTTCCTGGAACTCACTCTGTAGACCAGGCTGGCCTCAAACTCACAGAGATCCACCTGCCTCTGCCTCCCGAGTGCTGGGATTAAAGGCATGTGCCACCACCGCCCGGCTAGAATTTTAAGCTATAGTTCTCATTAAATATATTTTTTGTTCTCCTTCATATTTGTTTTAAATTAATTTGGATGTTGTTAAGCAAAGGTCTTGCAGTGTCTATATTAATCCCTTTCTTAATGTACATTAGCTGAGTATTGGATTTTATGTTTCTAATTAGCATATTGAACTTGCCTAGAAATTATCCTAAATCTACCCCTTTCCTTCTCCCATCGACAGGAACAAATTACAAGGGGCTCAGAAATGTATTCTGCACGATTTTTATCTTTTGTGTGTGCACATGATGTGGGTGTCTGTCCATGTTCACAGGGACCATGTGAGCGGTATGCATGTGAGGGGGTAGAGGACAACTTTGGGTCCCTTGTTTCCTGCTCCTGGCCCTCAGGCTTCCTGGGGTCCTTCAGGCTCTGGCTCCATCTCACCCATGGGATGCTGAGATTCTAGACTTGTATTACTGCATCCAAACTCAGGTCCTCGTGCTTGTGTGGCAAACACTGTACCCTCTGAACCATGTCCCCAGACCACAATGTTTTTGTTTACATGAGAATAAAAAGGATGAAAAGTAGCACCTGCTCCCATTTATTTATACACTATTGTGTTGTATCTTTCATAACAAATAAAACAGTTCATACTAACTGGAGCCAGATATACCAGTATGTGCCTAATATATCAGTCACCTGGGAGGCTTAGGCAGGAGGATTGTAAGTTCTAGACCAGTGTGCTCAACTTGATGAGACCCTATCTGGAAATAACTTTTAAAATAAAATTAAAAGGGTTGGATAACACAGCTGAATTCCCAGAATATGGGAGGTGGAGAAAGGAGGATCAGGAATTCAAGGCCAACCTTAGCTACATCATGAATTGGAGGTCAGCCTGAAATATAGTGAAACCCTGTCTGGAAGAAAGTAATGGAGAAATGTGAAGAAAATATCTAGAAAATATTGAAAATTATGTTTCAACAAATAATACAAAAAGAAAAAAGCAACAGAAAAAGAGTGGCATTATTATTACTTCAACGTGATTTTCCAAAAAGAAACATGAGGTTTAACTTGCAATCCTTCAAGACTCAAAATCAGAAAATTTTTCTTTAATATTCCAGTTCAGTAAGTCCTTGAACTTAATTTTTTTTTTTTTGAAGTCTTCTAGATGCTTGTTAAAAACAAGTTGGGCAGCTGGAGGCACATGCCCTTAATCTCAGCACTTGGAAAGCAGAGGCAAGCAGATAGTTTGAGGCCAGCCTGATCTACAAAGCAAGTTCCACAGAGTTACACAGAGAAACCTTGTGTCAGGGAAGGGGGGAAAAAGCAAGTTGAGTCCAGGAATTGTGACAGTAGCCTTTTCTTTACACACACTCATCAGGCTTCTGGAGATCAGTGATACGGAAGACATTTACGATCATATAATCAAACCCCCTTTCTTTTTCCTCCCATGCTAGGGACTGAACCCCCTTCTTGCACTTGTGCTTGGCAAGGATTCCATCTTGGGTGTTTCGAAAGGTCTCACAGACAGGCTCGCTAGGCTGGCCTCAGACTCACACTCCTGCCTCTGCCTCCAGAGTGCTGGGGTTACAGATGCGTGCCGCCACCCCGCATCAGCTTCCCACTTTAAAATGCCGGCAAGCTTCAGTCTGTGTCCCGCAGAGGACATCTAAGGGAAGGGTCCGTGTTGCAGTAGTGTAGGCCACGCTGACTGTGAGGAAAGCTTGGGAGTCTCAGCAGCCCTGCCCATTGAGCTTCCCATGCCCCATGAACTCGGCGGCTCCGCCTCGCCCGCAGTTGTGCTTACTCGGAGGTTCCATCCTTGCTGTGACTCGCTCAGGCCCTTAGTCACCACACCTTTCTGTGGTCTTTCCACATGTCCCATTTGTTTCGGCCCACACTCGCTGAAGGGGAAGAATGAATTACTTAGCTCTCCCATTTGATTCTCTTTCTAGCTCCTAAAACTACGTTATATACTCCAGTGAGGAACTAAAACCCTGGAAAGTGAAAGAGGCAGTGTGAGCCTAGGAGGCTGAGGCAGGAGGTGAGACCTCCATGAGCTTGAGACCATGGGTTACATAGTGAGTGTCAGGCTGTCTGTCCTGGACTACAGAATGAGAGAACTTGTCTCAAAAAAAAAAAGATTAAATTTGTATTTTTAGTCAGGAATAATATTACAGCCTCTTCCATACATAGTTTAGTAATAAGCCATTTGAAATAAGAAATTTCTGATGAGCAGGGAATGAGGGAACGAGGGGCGAATGGATGATCCCAGACAGTCTCGTGTTTTGTCCATGATCAACCCAGACCAACTGGCAGCTCACTGAAGTTGGGTCTACCTGTGCAGTCTACTTAGAAGTCGGATTTGTGTCCCAGCCTGCAGCATTCTGGAAAACAGTGCAATCCTGTCTACTAAATACAGCCTCTCCCTTCCTTAGAGGCTGTGCTGGTTAAGCACTGCGAGAGCCTTACTGTCCAGCTCTCTTTCTAGATCCCAGGAGCGATCCCCAGACTTATTTTGTCTGCTGTTATCAGTCACTGTTCTAAGTTTAACAAACTTTCTCAATGTCTTATAATCCCCAAGTTATAGATTAGTGTTTTAGATGGCTACTTGTGGACGGCACAGAGGGTTTTGTCTTATCACTTAATCCTCTCCAAGCTCCCCTCTACCTAATGAATTACTTCTCTTAGATTCCCAGTTAATCAGTCATGTGTTTCTGCAGCAGCTTTCAGGGGACCTCACAAAATCTGCAGTAGTTTGTGGGACCTCTTGACACTGCACTACAATTAAAGTGTCTTTATTAATTTGCACTGTTTCTCTATAAAATTATAAATATAATTAGCTTAAGTGAGCACATAATTATGGCAGTGTTCATAGTAATAAAAGGTAATCATTAAGTGTGTCAGTAATGTTCCGGACATAAATAAATGAAAACTGGCTTCATCTGAAAGAAACTCTGTGAGATGTGAATTTAAAATAAGGACTCTGCTGGCAGTGATGGCCTGTGCCCTCAGTCCCAGCACTTGGGAGACAGAGGCAGTGATGGCCTGTGCCCTCAGTCCCAGCACTTGGGAGACAGAGGCAGTGATGGCCTGTACCCTCAGTCCCAGCACTTGGAAGGCAGAGACAACGAGTCTCTTGAGTTTGAAGACAGCCTGGTCTACAGAGAGAGTTGAGGACAGACAGGGCTACACAAGAGACTACTACATTTGTTGTTGTTGTTATATTTCTTTTAAAATGTCTAATTCAGTATCTAACCCATATATAAACAGATAGCTGTTGATCTGTGCTCCATGTTAGACAAATCACTCCATACCAACTAAAAGTTGGTAATGGATTAGAAACTTCTAGTATCTAGAAGTTAAGCTATACTAGCATACTAGTAATAGCACATCACTAGCAGAAATATCTGGAAATGAAGAATTACTCATTTCATGGGAATCCGAAATCAACCTTTCAAAACCAGTTCCTTACTTGGCATTTGTTCATGTTTTGGTAGTGACAAATGAGACTTAGATACTAGGGTAGGTGAGAAATCACATTCACTTCTAATGTAGCTCAAAGTAGCATGAATTATAATTAATATACAACCAAGGGCAGAAATTTGCCAATAGCCAGACATGGTTCATGCCTGTAATTGCAGTAGAGAGCCTGATCACAAGTTCAAGGCCTGCCTAGGTTACACAGCAAAACCTCATCTGAAAAAATCAGTTCACCCACAAAAGACTCTGTATACATGTCTCTGGGTGGTAGAGGTGACTGAACTGAGTGTAGTCCCTCATGCCTGTAATCCCAGCCATTGGGAGGCAGGGCAGGAAGATTGCCACAAGTTCCAGGCCAACCAGGGCTACAGAGGGTCTAAAATAGAAGTAAGTTCAAGTTCATAAAGCTGAATGTGGTGTTTCTGTGCCTTGCTAATTGGGTGGTTACTTAGAGTTGTGAATGTTGCCCATAGTTCTTTCTGGTAAAGAACCATGCTGCCTGGTTAGTTCCGGCCATGTTCTCACCCTACTGTCCTGCATGTTCTTTCAAACCAAACAAAATAAATATAGTAAGGAGCAAGAGCCTATGATGAACCACTGTGCTAAACTGTACTCAAACCACAAAATAGGAGATGGCCCAAACAACTACTACAGCCACCAGGCTGGCCTTAAACTCACTGTGTAGCCCAGGCTGGCCCTGACTCATTGCAGCTCTCCTAGCTTGCCCATCTGAGTGTCAGATTATAGGCAGCACACAGACATTTTCACAGATAATGACAGAATCCTGTGAAGAACTCCATGCTCACATATGAACAATGCCAAGGGAAGTGAATCACTTTGGAAAATGCAGTCTGCCATAACATCCACAAGAAGAGACTCTGGAGAGGGGATTGGATCAGTGGGGGAAAGTGCTTGCCATGAAAGCATAAGGACCCAAATATTGTTCTCCAGAACCTGTGTAAATCCGATTTATAGTCCCAGTGTTCCTACACAAACTGGCAGCCAAAGACAGGAGAATCCACAGAAGCCTTAGGGCCAGAGAGCCTAGCCTGAGCTCCAGCCAGAAATAAAAGAGCCTAGCTCAAATCAAAGTGGGAAGGGAAGGACCAATGTCCAAGGTTGCCCATGGACCTCCACGTATGCCCATACAGAAAGCAATAATTATCATGTTATATTGGTATAACATATGTAGTATATTTTATTATATCTATGTAAGTTTTTGATGTGAATTGAGCTAGAGAGATGGCTCAGCATAAGAACCAAGATTGGGTCTTACTACCCAAGTCAGGTGGCTCACAACTTAATTCTCGCTCCAGAGAACCCTGCACCTCTGGCCTCCACAAGCATGTGCACTCCTGTGCATGTACGTGTTCACACATAGACACACACATACAAACTGGGAAATAATAAAAAATTTTTAAAATGTGAATTGACTTATATCTATCAAAACAATACTAGGCTCAAATAAATTAACTGGCAAATTCTGCCAAACCTTTAAGGATGAAGTTATACCAGTTCTCCACAATCTCTTTCAAAAGTTGGAAACAATTCCCAGTTTGGGGGTCAATAGAATGAGGAAAGTGTTTGCCTGGCATGCATCACACAAATCAATATGGGAGAGATAGCCATATTCAAACCTGGGAAATGGAGACAGGAGTGTCAGAGGTCAAGGTCATTTGGGGCTATGTGTTGGTTTAAAGACAGTCTGGGATATAGGAGACCTTGGAGAAGGAAGAGGTGGGGAGGGAAGGAGGAGAGTTCCCAACCTATTTTACAAAGCCAACCTTAACAATGCTTAGTACCAAAAACTAGCCAAAAATATTATAAGAAAACTATAGACCCTTCTCCTAGATGAAAAAAATATCTAATGATTTTCATAGGCAGTGAAATTATTCTGTACATACTGTAATGACATATACGTATCTTTAGATATTTGCCCAAAGCCAGAGAATTTACACAGTAGTGTCAGTTCGCAGTTCTAAAGGATGCGCCACTGTGGTAAAGGATATGGATAATGGAGAGGAGGTAGCTCAGTTGGGGTAGTGCTTGCCTGGCATCCAGGAAGTCCTGGGTTTGAGCCCCAGCCTTGTGTAAACAGGGCGTGGTGGTGCCTGTGCATAATTGGAACACTTGGGAGACAGAGATAGGCTAGAAGACCACGATGTGCTGCATGAGGACTGTATCTGTGCCTGCCTTTTGGTTTTGCTGTGCACTAAAACCTGTCCTGAACAAAGTCTGTGTAACTGAAGTCAGATTGGAAGACCTGAGACCTGTGCCCAGGAATCCCAGCACTCAGGAAATAGTTCAGGATCATCCTTGTCTACATAGTGAGTTCAAGGGCAGCCAGGGCCTGGGTGTATCCTGACAGTCACCCTCCCCTGAATAGATTAGTAAGTTTCCTGTTGAGGCAGGGAACTTGTATAAGGCCTGTGGACTCCTTACCAGCTCAGCCCCATATGCACCCAAAACTCAGCCTTCCCAATAAAAATCACCTCTGTCTCCATCCAATTCCAGAACCCTTAGAGGAAGGAAAGGCTACACAGTGACAGCCCTCCCTCGGACTCTCCCACCCCAGAGTTCTTCCTCACTGGCCAGGCTCAGTTTCCCTGTTTTGTTTGGGCTTGAGACAGGGTGCTGGGGAGCCAGTGGCTGGGGTGGCTTTAGTGGCCATGAATTGCCTGGTGCCCTACCACCCCAAGGTAAAAGCATGAAAGGATCCCAGCAACCACGTAGGAGCTCATTTCTTACCAAGGACTCAGCAACCCCAAACCTGGGAGTGCCGTGACAGATGCTTGAGAGTTGTGTGAATTAAAGAGAGGTGGGCTGTCTAGCTTACACAAAGTGCCCCAGATATGGTATGTAGTTCTCTACGTCACCTCCTCCTTGTAAGCATTGCATTTAATTTACTCTTTTTTTTTTTTTCTTTTCAGACTAAAAAGGAAGCACAAGAATGGTCCAAGAATCAAAAGATGAAGGCCTAGTGTTTGGTGCTAGAGAAAGCCAGAGCCTAACCCTAACCCAGCCGGTCCTCTCCCTCCACACTGCACGCCCAGCCAGGGCCGCTGCTCTGTGTTGGAGTGGGCCTTGTATCATCGTGTACTCCAGAAGTGCTGTCTCTGTTGGGGGAGAAACATTTGTTTTAATCATGTACTTGACATTTTCAAATATAAGTAACTTAATGTTTATTTTAACTAATGTTAAATTAACAAATTTCAGTAGAATCAACATATAAAGTACAAATAGTTGTATGCTTTATATTTTGGTTTTATGTATTTTATTATAAAATAAATATCCATCCTCTGACTAGATTGTAGAGTTTTCATGAATAGAGAGTTCTTCTTAGAGTAAACTTTCTGAACTACATAAATTCTGAAATCACATGACACAAATACCAAACACCTGACATTCTCTGTTACATGGCTGGGCAGTGGTAGCACACATCCTTAATCCCAGCACTCAAAGCAGTAGTAGGCGAGATTGAGACCAGCCCCGTCTACAGAGTGAGTTCCAGGATAGGCTCCAAAACTACACAAAACAAAACAAAAAAATCATTTGTGGGGCTGTCAAAATGACTTGGTAGATACAAGCCATACAATCTAAGTTCCATGCCGGAAACCCAGACAAAGAGAAGAACTGACTCCCAAAAGCTCCTTTGCCCTCTTCATGTGCACCATGGCACACATACACCAGCATACATACAAACAACACACTGCATACAGCAACACACTCAAGTGTGTAAACTGATAAACGATACTCTTTTCTTTTGTGGGGATGGGTTTCTGTTTGTTTTCAGACAGGGTTTCACTGTGTATCTTTGGCTGTTCTGGAACTCACTATGTAGACCAGGCTAGCCTCAAACTCACTGAGCTCCCAGGGCTGAGATTGAAGATATGTGCTACCACACCACTGGGCTCTTAAAAAAGGGCATTAAAGAATCTGGTGAAGTCCACTGTAGGGCGTCCCCAACATTCTACAATGGGGACAAATGCCATGTGGACACTTTGGGTCAGTTTTGTGTTCCTGGTGTTTTTTCTTATAGTTCATATTCTCATTAACCAGTAAAGTCTGGCAGGAAGTCCACTGTTCTGTTAGTGAAGTAACAGTCTGCTGTGAAGTCTTAACATTGTGAGTCATGGTGCAGGGTCAGCCATGTATCTACAGTGACATTGTGAGTCATGGTGCAGTGTCAGTCATGTGTCTGTGCAGTGACATTGTGAGTCATGGTGCAGTGTCAGCCATGTATCTGTGCAGTGACATTGTGAGTCACAGTGCAGAGTCAGCCATGTATCTGTGCAGTTACATTGTGAGTCACGGTGCAGTGTCAGCCATGTATCTGTGCAGTGACATTGTGAGTCATGGTGCAGGGTCAGCCATGTATCTGTGCAGTGGGAAAGGAAGCAGTGGGATTCATCTGTCTCATACATGTTCCCATAGGTGTGTGGGCATGCCTAAAGTCCCAGCACTTGGGTGGTTGAAAAGGAGAGGTCTGGGCTTGTGTGTAGAGTGAAGGCTCAGCCTCAAGAAGTGTTCAGCCCCAGCACCACAGAGGAGGACCCGAGACAGCGGCAGCGAAAGAACAGGCTGGGCATGGAAGCTGGGGAGTCGAGCTTGGTAGACTAGTGTTCAGCACTGTGTTACATCCCCAGCTGACAATGTACGATTTGCACATAGATGTGTCACAAGGCAAAATTACAACAAATTAAAGGTCCCCCCTACTCCCCCTCAGGTGCTAGAGGTTGAACTCAGGGCCTTGTGCATGCTAGACAGGCATTCAACTGAACTACCTCCCTAGCTTTGGAGTATGGACTTTAATTGACTTTCCTTTTTACTGTAGAGATGGACCCTTTCATTCTATCAAGTAGAGTCAGTGTTCCAATGGACTGAACAGAAAAGGTTGGTTTTATAGACCGAAGGAAACTGAAATAAATATCAAACTGAGAGTGATAACACACTCCTGTAATGCCAGCATTTGGGAGGTAGAGGCAGGAGGCCTCCACCCTGGCCTTCAAAGACCTTGTCTCAAAAAAACAAAACACTCAAAGTAACATAAAGACAGATTGGTCTTATTTCCAAGTTAATTTGGGGGTCACAAGTGCATGTCGGTGATATTGCATCGTGCTCTGCATGTACCTCTAGCATCAAAAGTCAGATGTTTAACTTCCGGTTAGTTACCTTTTTTATCTTGTAAAGAAAGATTAAAGCACAGAGAACAGAAAGCAAAATTTCTCTCAATTTCCTGGAAGATCAAATAACAACATAATTCACGTTGGATACCTAGAACGTTAGTATGATAAACACTAGACTAGCCTTTGGCAGCACCATGTGAATACTGTGTGTGTGAGAGAAGCAGGCAGACAGGGTAGCATGTAGCCCAGGCTGGCCTCAAACCCAAGGCTGTCCTGGAGCTTCTGACCCTCCTTTCTCTTTACTCCTGAGTGTTTTCAGGTGTGGATTGCAAGTGTGTCCACCACACCTGGTTTTTGCAGCGTTGGGGACCACACACAGGGCTTCATTCACACTGGCGAAGCAGTCTACACCTGAGCCACATCCCCAAACCATGCACTTTTTTTTTTAAGTTGGTTTTAGAGCCTAGTAAAGAAGCTTGATCTAAAATGACTTCCTACCTCTTAGACAGTGTCATGATCTCTGACCTCTCAACCCGTACCTCCTGGTGAATATTACAAAATATCACCTAAATGTAAGAACTGTCCCGACCATTCTGAAGCTCATCCCTCCAGCTAGGACCTGTTTTCTGTGGTTTCCACTTTCTTGTGCATTAATACTTCATCTTCGCAGTACCTGTTTGATTAAACAGTGATTCTCAACCTTCCTAATGCTTCGACGACCCATTAATACAGTTCCTCGTGTTGTGGTGACCCCAACCGTAAAATTATTTTTGTTGCTAATTCATAATTGCAGTTTTCCTACTGTTATGTAAATATCTGATTGCAGGGTATCCAATATTCGACTCCTGTGAAGGGGTCAGGACCCCCAGGTTGAGAACTCTTGGATTGGGGGTCTGTTGTTGAGATATTTGTTTCGTTGGTTTGGGTTCTTGCCTCTTTGAGACAGTTTCATGCGTCCCCAGCTGGCCTCCCTTAAACTCTGTGGAATGAGGAGTGGAAAATGACCTTGAACTTCTGATTGCTCCTGCCTCTACCTCCGAGTTCTGGGATCACCAGTGTTCACCACCAAACTCAGTCACCTGGTGGTACGGCTGGAACCCAAGACTATATGACTGCTGCCAGCTGGGCCACACCCCAGCCCTGTCTTCATTTGTTTTATGTTGGGTTGGTTTGTTTGGGGGAGCTTAGTAAAGATATTTTAGTGTAGATTAAAGACATGAGAGCAACAGGGGCCTGGAGAGATGGCCTAGCAGTTAGGAGCACTTGTTCTTACGTGGGACCCAGCTTTGATTCCCCACCCCTATGGGCAGCCCACAACCATCCATAACTCCAGTTCCAGGGGATCCAATGCCTCCGTGGGCACCTGGCATGAATGTGCTGCACAGACAAATGAATATATGAAAAATAAAAAGAAGACATTAGCCCACTCGAGCATGTGGCTCTGGCAGGCCTTGCCCGTTCCCATTCCCTCTGCATGCTAAAAACCTTTAGATTACATCCCGAAAGCTAGTCACCAAGGTCTATTCCCTTATTTGGCCACTTCCTCCTCCTGAGGCTGACTACCAAGGTCCAGCTATCAAAAGCCCCCTTTGGCTCACCTAATTAACATGCCCAATTAAAATTAAGCAACACAGGGTTTCCTCCTCTACCTTATCAACCTCCGTTTGCCTATGGGCCAGGCCCCTCTGTCTCCTCTCTATCCAGAGGCAGTCCTCTGTCCCTCTGGGACAAACATCCCTTCCCCTTTCCCTTGTCCCCTCCCGCTTCTCTCTTGTCCCCTATCACCTTTACCACCACATCCTACCCCATCTTAACACAGACCTCCCCCTTTTCCTCCTCTTAACAATGACACCTGCAAGGTCATTGCTGCTATTTTTCTGCTTGAGTCAGAAAAGCAGCCACTTTAATTTTTCTTCCTGACATAAAGGATCGCTCTGTGAGAACAGGTGTTTGGGTGTGGTCTGTGCCTAACCCGGGATCCAGGAGGAAGCCCCGTGTGGGTGTTCTCCTTCAGAGGGATGCTCAGAAAGAGCAACACTCTCAAGAGCATGGCTGCGTGCTTCTCCAGGAGAGATCGGGCACTATTAACCTCATTTTTTTTTAATTAAAAAAAAAAATTCAGAGTAAGTTGACGGCCCAAGATCAAAAAGTGGAATTCAGGTTCGAGTTGGCTTGCTGCCAAGTATGATGCCCTGCGTTTGATCCCTGGGGCCTGCATGGTAGAAGGAGAAAGCCTACTCCCACAGGCTGTCCTCTGACATGTGTGCATGGCATATGCACACACAAATAAATAGATAAATAAATAAACCAAAGACAAAGCTAGAGCGGGGTTTGATCTGACGGTGAGTCTGGCCAGGCTGCTCGAATGCAGTTCACCACTTCCCAGACCCTGCTCCTTCCAGGCCTCCCACTCCCAATGGCTGGAAGCCATGGGAGGAAGATCTTACTGTTCTGTGAGTCTTTGTTAGTTATTTACCTTTTTTTTTTTTGTTTTTTTTTTTTTTGTTTTTCGAGACAGGGTTTCTCTGTGTAGCTTTGCGCCTTTCCTGGGACTCACTTGGTAGCCCAGGCTGGCCTCGAACTCACAGAGATCCGCCTGCCTCTGCCTCCCGAGTGCTGGGATTAAAGGCGTGCGCCACCACTGCCCGGCGAGTTATTTACTTTTTAAGACAGGCCTCACGCTAACTCAGGCTGGCCTCCACCTTGTGACCTTCTTGTCTTGGGCTAGGATGATACAGGCTTGAGCCATCGGGTCCAGATGTTGACCTTGTAATCCTCCTGTCTCAGTCTCCAGAGTGCTAGGATTGTGGATAAGCACCACCCAACCCAGCTCAAAAACATCTTGACCAGCTTTGGGGAGTTAGGAGTACTTATGGGACCAGGCACAGTAGTGTATTAGTTCAAGACAAATTCACTGGGTAGCAAGCAGACCTAGTTGTACAGATTGGAATGCTGGGCTGCAGTCCAAGCAGACCCAGTTCTACAGAGCTGATGCAGCGTGGTTGAGTGCCTGTCTAGCATGCAGGAAGCGTTGGCTTCTATCACCAGCACCATATAAACCCGGTGTGGTGCAGATCTCTAATCCAAGTGCTTGGGAGCTGGGGCAGGAGGATCAGTTCAAAGTCAGCCTTGGCTACATTAGTTCCAGGCCACTCTGGGCTACACTGGGACTCTGAG